TAATCAAGAACCTGTACTGGCTTCAAACAGCATACATGCGCATAGAGAACGACTTCAGCGAATATAAAAAAAAAAGAAAGGGGCATAAAGCAAGGATGTATCTTCTCGCCGGACCTATTCAACCTATACAGCGAGGCAAATCTGAGAGAATTGAAAATCCTACCGGGATTCATCATCGGCGGCCACAATCTTAACATAAGATGCGCAGATGACACAGTACTGATAGCAGACACGGAAAAGAAATTACAAAACCGCGTACAGAAAGGAGAGAAGGAGAGCAAGGAGAAAGGACTAAGCATAAACTACAAGACGACAGAATACATGGCCATTAGTAAAAGGATGAGTCTGAATGTGGTTTTCAGATCGGGAACACTAAAATCAAGCAAGTGCGGAAATTTAAATATCTGGGAAGTGTTTTGACGGGAGACGGCAGGTGTAACACAGATTCGTAGACGTATTGGGGTGGCCAAGGACGCATTCCAAAAGCTGGGTAAAGTATTGCGAGACAGGAGGATCTCTTTGGTAACAAAGAAAAGAATACTGAGCTGTTACGTTACATCTGTCCTTCTTTACGAATGAATGACGAAGAAGAGACTCGTGGCAACGGAGATGTGGTTCTACAAAACATGCTGGGGATATCATGGACCGAGCGTGTGAGAAATGATGAAGTCTTCGAGTGGATGCAAACAAGGAGTAGACATATACTTAACATCAGGAAGATGCAGCTGAAGTTTCTGGCGACATGTAATGAGAAAGGAGGGCTTGGAGAGACTGATATTCACAGGTCGAATAGAATGAAAGAGAGACAAGGGAAAGCAACGCATGACATACCTGGCGGGCTTAAGCAAGTGCATGACAGAACGTGGTCTGGAGGAGGAGGAGGAGGCAGAGGGACGAAACTTATTGGGAGCTACAAGGTATAGGGTGAAGTGGAGAGCTATGATCATCTACGTCCTGAAAGGACACGACACATAAAAAGAAAAGAAAGACCGCTTGGAAATACCAAGGTGCTGTAAGTTTGGATGTGCGGGTGGTGTTATGGATAACAGCTCGTCATTGGAAATCGGAGAGTCGAGTTCTACTTTGGGTTTGCTATATTCAATTACGCGCAAATAACCTTATACGCACAGTAAACCATGCGGTTATATTTTTCTTGAGGGAGGGAGTAGGAAGATCTGATGGGGCAAGATTCAAGAAGGAATGAAATCTTTCAAAGATATCGATTTTATTGGAATTCGACCACTGACACCGGCAGGAAATTTACAGTTACTTAAAACCCGAAGCAGAAGAAAATACATATTTATTTACAGAGATTATTGTGGTAAAAAGCTACAGTAGTTGGGCACACGGTGAGGAACCAACTCACTGTACTTTCAAATGAACCTGTAATATCAACTTAATATGGGTTGCTCTACGGTAGGCATCACTATGTTTTTAAATATGAATTTCAAATTTTTCAATACATTTTTTTGCTAAATTATTGGCGGTGTTCAGGGAGGCATTTATATGACGTCCGTATTTGGTATTGTAAGATTGATCGTGGGAGAAATCATTTTTTTGTTTTCCCTACACCCCTAAAAATCATTAATTACCCCCTAAAGATTTGGAGAATGCAGATTTTGGGCTGTTGAGAAAATGGGTGGAACGTATGTGCTAAGCATATCACGAACGAATGCACATAGACACACTAAGACATAGAAACACACACACACACACACACATATATATATATATATATATATATATGTGTGTGTGTGCGTGTGTATGTGTGTGTGTGTCTGTGTGAATAGGTTAGGTGTCTACTTTAGAAAATTAAACAATAGATTGGGAAAATCTCCACCCTGCGCCACCAGATGCGCCTCACCCAATAACGTTTCAACCTCTTTTACTTCTCCATGTGTTGAACTATACAATCTGTTTCTTTCCAGATGTGACCGACTCAAAAATGATTTCCCTCCGAAAATCAATAAATTGATTTCCTTAATTAGTTTCGCTTCCTCATTTCAAATCATAAGCACATGATGTGAATTGTGCTCTACCCACGCAGAAGTTAGCTGTAAAATTCCCAGGGCGCGGCCTTTCCGATATATGTGCGTGTGGGGGCGGGGGAGAGAAATGCTGTTTAATATCTACCATTTATAACCAAAATGACATAAATACACGAAGGGGAAAGGAAGACTATTTTCTTTAGATCGGAATCAGGATTCTTTTTCAGGCATTGTGAGCACCGAATATTTCATCACACCCTCCAAAATCTTTGTTACTAAGCCGCACCTAAAATAACAGTGAATGACCAATTAAATAAATAAAAGAAAATCTCTTGATATTGGGTTATAAATGTTACAAAATAAATCGTCAGATGAAATGATCATTTCTGACACTTCCTTATTTTTTATTTTTACTAACGTTCACCCTATATAAGGTTCAAGATTCACTCAAGGGTTGCTGAAGGGGTTTGTTGTGTGAACGAAAAGAATATGAGGTAAGAAGCGCAGTTTATGAGGATATATGAGAAAGATGACGGTTAACTCTAGACATGAACAGGTTAACTTTGTAGTAGTTTGGGAAGCATCCTCTTAGGAGTCGATTCCACAGAGTAACAGTTCGTGGAAAGAAAGATGTTCGAATTGAACTTCTCTCTAATAAAATATGAAATGAATGAGAATGGTTCGCTACACTGTAGATGGCATTACAGGTCTTAGAACTGTCTGAACTAACAATGAAGCTTGTTAGAGGGTTTTCTATGCGAATAGTGATGAAGTACCAGTAGACAAGCAACAATCCGCCTGGATTAACCTAGTGGCAAAAGTATCGAATGCTACGAATTCCTTATTTTTGATGACACTACATTAAATACTTACAAGCTCACTTAGGAAATCTTACAATTTGTCAAGGTTAATGTTTACATATCGGTGGAGGTGCATTTTTAACATTTAATCAGTTTTCAGATAACATAATGTCGAGGGCATTAATTCTATTCTAATATCTCGTTAAAATCATTTGCCTCATATTTTCTGGATTTGATCGATAGGAATTAAATATTTACCTATTTTATAAGCGCTATCGCTATGCTAGTAAAGGATTTGATTTAATATTTATGCGTTTTTTTTATTTATTAAAGGCCACTTTATAACATATTGAAGGCCTCACACTTGTGTTTTTATTCCCTCTGTCCTTGTGCGTAAATGTGTGTAACGTTCATGAGGATAAGATTAGCCAAGTTTTGGCAGAGATACATTTTATTGAAGTTAACGTGGAAAGCTGAAAGAACAGATTGTGATTTGTTGGCCTTTTTTCGCTTAATGTCAGCTTTTTGCTTTGCAATAACATTCAGAAAAGAATTGGCGATTTTTCTGTTGTCCTTGAAAGACAAAATGATTAATTCCCTCAACACAATGCTGTAATCAAATAATCTGGGAATGGTACTGAATACTTTCAGGTATATACATGTTTCTTTTCAAGTTTAAACTTCTTTTCAAGTTTACACTTGTTTCTATTCAGGATAACAGTTTTTTTCAGGTTTATACTTCTTGATTCTTTTCAGGTTTACGCTTCTCTTCAGGTTTACACTTCTTTTCAGGTTTAAACTTCTTTTCAGGTTTACACTGGATTATTTTCAGGTTAACACATCTTGATCCTTATCTGACTGAGTATGGTACCAGAGACAAAGTGGGGGCAGAACATTGTACTAAGACAATCTTCATCACAGAAGGAATTGTCTACCGTAAAATTTAACATTCAATGTTCTGGCTTTCATTTGGGATCGAACATTGATCACTGTCGCCGGTGAGAAATTTTTCAGCTACGTGTTAGGCTACTGGGAAAGATGAACAGATGATACTAAAATGTGCGTGAATAGATTGCTAACAACCGCATCATATTTCCCTGTCAAAGGTCTGCCGATGAGTGCTAAGAATAACATTAAAAAAACACGAGCAATGAGAAAGTTTAAAAAAAAATAGGAACTACAAGGAGACTCAAAATTGCAATGAGAAGGAGACAGCTGAAATTTCTGGATGAGGGTTTAGAGAATTTAACACTCACATAACATATTGAAGGAAGGCTATCAGGGGTAAAACATCGAGTAACTTCATTATCTTGTGTAAATGGATAGAAGAACATGACAAAGAGGGGTTTTAAAGAGGAAAAGTTACTTAGAGCGTCAAAGGAATAGAAATTGTGGAGAATAATGATCGCCTTCCTCCTGAAGCAGTACGACATATTAAAGAAGACTCAGCCACTTATATTTTTCATTTCTTTTAACACAGAAGTATTTTTTTTTGGTGTCCTATTCCTCCTCTGGTTATCCCAGGTTTCTTCAATACATCCCCCATTTTAAATTAACAATTTTTTCCTCATTATATTTATGACACATATGACTTCACTTTCTGTACTAAGTTTTGAAATTCCTTCTCAGGATTTGAAATATCTCCTTTTTGAGAATCAGTGTTTTGAAGTGTGCGAGTGAATGTTGCCTTTGTACTTTGTATTCTCTTGTGGAATTTTTGTTCTAATTGATTAATTAGCACACTTGTTTCGTCAACCATAAATATTGATCTCGTTTCGCCTTGTGTATTCGATAACTGTGACCTACTTTCAAACTTATCACCTTCTTAAAATATCTCAAACTCTGGTTCTATTTATTCTTGTCATATTCTGGTACAAGACTATGTGACTGGAATTTGAAACGTTCGTTTCTCGGTTAAAATCTCGCTTAAAATCTTTCCTCATTATCCAGCAAAGTTAGTTAAACATTTGAAACAGGCTACATGTACGAAGACCTAGTTATATACTGAGTCTTTCGCATCAGTTTTTTTGGCTTTGTCTTCATCAGAACGTTTTGATCAATACACATTCGAACCTTACCTAAATATCTGTCGCATTCGATATTCTTCCGATAAAGCTGAATTGACGTCTTTATTTGACTGATTCACGTGTATGAATGTTATACACATTCCCTTACCTGCCACGCCTAGCGTCTTCCAAAGAATTAGTTTTACGGCCAGGTAATGTTGAAACACCGTTTCTCGTACGATCACTCATGTTAAGCAACGTCAAGATTGGTCAGTACTTAGAAGGGTGACCGATTGGGAATACCAGGTGCTGTAAGCTTGGGTGTGCGAGTGGTGTAATGGATAACGATTCAGAATTGGAAAGTTATAATTCCAGTCAGGTTCGTTATATTCACTTACGCGCAAGTACCCTTGAGAAAGGTATGAATGCACCTCTTCTCTCCCAGTTATGGGTTAAATAGTAATACTTGTATCTGCAAGGCATTATTATCTAAAATAGCTAGAACCTAAATCGTATAAGCAAATCATTATTATCTCCAAAAAATGAACCCAAAAATGTTTTCTGGTTTTAAATAACCCAAAAAATGTTGATGAACCGTAAAAATACAAATCAATTTCAAAACTCGAAACTGTTAGATCTTCATGTCACTCAACTGAGTGGGTTTATATCTTATTGATGGATTGAACTGACAACATTGGTAAATGAAAGTTTTTGTTTTTATAGAAAAAAAAATGTATAAATGTGTTACATGCCTTCTCTCCGACCACGAAAATGAAAGCAAGCGAATATTACAAAAAGATACTGTCCTTATTTACAAATCCAGCACGACATGCTCTAAGAGGTTGCGTTTTCCCACGTGTTAACCGCAAAGCTATCATCTGTACAGACTAGCCCTTCAATGATTAGCTATTAAGGGTCACATGACTGGCCAAGCAGGTGTAAAATAATTAGAGAAGAGGAAGGAAAGTCGACACAATACATGTTTACATGAAAGGATCTCGTTACTTAAAAATCTTATGGCAAAACTCGCTCTTTTTTGAGATCCAGATTTTGATAATGATTCGGGAATATTTCTCCTTATATGAAAGAAAAATTCGGGCAATTCTACAAATTTAATTCTTATAAAATCTGTAATATTATTGTAGTATGAAATTGCTATTTTTTGAAGAAGCGACTACCTCACCAGACGAGATCCCCATATCCCCATACGATGCATATACGAAAAAATGGTGCATGTGCCCAGGTAAACAAGTGGAAAGAGATCTGTATTCGTGTACAATCCAATAAAACGACCGCCCAGTGGCCATTTGGCTTTAGTTGACCTTTACTTGACCATTGAACCTAATGACGTTGGCCAAAACACAACAATGACCTTGGCATAAAAATCATAGAATTGTTTACTGAATTACGATCAACAGAAATCGCTCCTTACACGTTGGCTCTTCTTCAGAGATGATCTCCTCTTCAACCTGTCAAATGTACCCGATGACTGTTACACTCTGATGGCTTAGAAATAATACAGACATAAGAAAGCCTACGGGGATTGGACAGAAACGAACTTTGGTGGACAAAATTTAACAGTTTTGTTAACCTTCCCACTTTGCTGTGATCTCTGAAAGATTAATTAATTACCCGGGACAGGGCTGCAGGAAACGTCCGCGTATAATTGTGGGAAGAGTTAACCTTCAATATCCCATTCATAATATTCTCTAACTTAATCATATTGCGGTCAAATGTTGTAGAAAACTCTCGTCAAACAAAAGAAAAAGGAAAAGAAAAAAATCTAATTAATATAATAGAGTAATACTTTTTATATGGGGCAGCTGATGCCCCATATAAAAACTTGTTGTTCTAATTAAGAATTCATGATTTCATCTTTTGTTATGGGCCGTATCACTTCATAACGTGAGCGATCATGACTCTCTACAACTTTCTATCCTTTGTCGGTCTTAGATTTATTTTTCACCATATCTCCTAGTCCTGTCATTACATTTACAGAAGATTGTTAGGTAAATTACTCGCTGTTTATCTCTGCCCATTGCTTTCAGTATGTCATGTGAGTGTCAAATTCTCCATGTCCTCTTTCCTAATAATGCATCCTAGAAATTTCAACTGACTCTTTATGATTCTAAATATAGATGTCATTTTAGTTTCCATTTTTTCTTAAAATTTCCTCGTGACTCACGTTCAGTCCGTTGTATTCTCAGCATCTTTCTGTAGAAACACATTTCTACTGCTTGAAGTCTCTTCTTCATCTGTGAAGAGATTTGGGTGTCACAATTGACTCCCCCTTTTAAAACACTTCACTAGTTTTAAAAATTTCGTACTTGCTTGTTTTCGGTATCACTAATTAGTAGGTAGAATCTTGGAATGCTCCTCTTGCTGACAAACATCTTCGTATTTTTCACAGTTAATGATTAGTCCTTTCTTCTCGCTTTCTTTTAGTACGTTCCGAATGGGTTCATGCAGTTTACTTCCCCAGTCTTCTATTATCACTATGTTATCTGCATATCTTATGTTGTGACAACTGTGTCTGCCAGCAATATATCCTGGCAAAACTTCCAGTTCTCTCAGTGTCAAGAATATGTAATGATTACATAAATCCGGTGAGATGTCTTTACTATCCGTCTGCAGACGGTTTGCACCGAGGATAAGTTCTGGATTATTGTAATATTTTAATATCAAATTTAATACAAAAAAAAAATGAACCCTACCTGCTTTGTTATGATTAACAAACTAACATGTCCACAATGCTTCCTTTCCTGTTCAATTACAACGGTGATCCCTATCAGCAACACTTCTACAAACCATTTGATACATTTCTATATTAGTTTCAGAAACATTACTAGAGATTCCTTGCTTTAAATCTCTAGCTATAAAAGGCAGGATGTGCGTGTGTGTGTGTAACGAATGCACGGCCGCAATGTTCGACGGATTTGCACCACAATTTACATGCACATGTTCCAAGTTAGCGGGAAGGCCAATACCGACTTTGCATTTCCCGACTCCCATCGATAGTGGAAATAAGCGATTTTTTTCATGCTTCTACGGCATTTTTCATGTAGTTTGCGGACATTTTCTGCTGTCCAGAATGAGAGCCTATAGCTGGCAGTCACGAATAGGCAGGAAGATTCTATTGGCCAGTGTGAGAGCCAACAGCTGACTGACACGAATGTTAACTAGCGTGCTAGCATGCAAAAATAAAAATCGATAGCTGCATTCGTCACAAGTGGGAAAAATTTAAATCTGCATGGCACTTTACTCCAATTGGCTCATTCGCTTGCTTAAACTCAACGTTGATTCTGATTCTGCAGAACTGAGTTGGGTGTGAAAAAGTATTTGTTGTTAACATTCTTTTTTCATTCGGTTTTTCCAGTTACGAGTCCTTTTTTTAAAGCTGATCGTTTTGTGTCCATTTTGTTTAGTTCATTTTTCGTAACAGATTTAATGTTGAGTATAGAGCTTAGAAAAATTCGCAGTGTGAGATAGGCAAGAAGTAAGGCATGTAGCAACATCAGCACGGCAAAGGGCACTCCTTTAAAGGCAAGGAAGGGCAAAAATATTTTAAGTCAAATGATAGCGATTGCTGTATGAGTCGTACGATTTTTTAATCAAGCACGGGCAACGCCGGGCCATGCTGCTAGTTAGTAATAGTTTTCAATTTGAACCTTTACACAAAATCTTTCAGCAGAACCTATAAGAAATATTCTGGTGGCGTTGGGTCTAGTGATCGTGATGGCCACTCAATTTGGTCTAATAAGAAATAAAAATAAAATATAAAATAATAATAATGATGAAAATTATAAATTAAATAAAATAAAATTTAAACCTCGTTTAAAATAAATTAAATAAATAAAAATAATAAAAAAAAAATACTCCCCGCGTGCAACAGGGACTTTTCCTGCCGGAAGTACAGACAATCCGCCAAGAGACGTGAGATTTAATCTCTTCGCCCAAGGACTGTCGGGATGACAACACGTATGTAAGTACCCTCCGTGATAGGACTTGTGATATTACGGTGTGACTTACTCCTTTTATAACATGAACATTATCACAATTGTAACGTAAAACACAAACACCAATATATGAATAAAATTGTATGAAATTACCATAAAATTTACCATGTTTTTCTTATTGTTAATTTTTATGTTTGTTTGTATTGTTTTTACCCGTGAACACAAGCCCAATCTTAATAATCACATGGTGTGAGTGAATATACCCTCACAGGTCCACCCCGTCTATCCACCTCAGATCTAAATTAAGATTTAACCATTCTCAAAATATAAGCCATAATAGGGTGGCACGCCATCATTTTGTAAGTAAATATCATTCCGATTTATAATTCCAAGCGACAATTCAATTTGCAGCATATGTAAATAATTCTCTTAATTAACAGTACCATCAAAGAATATCGGTACTGTTCTGAAATGGTGGCCGAAACCCTCACCCCTGGTAGGTTAACATCTTTTTCAAAGATAACATATGGGTTAACATTACTTAAGTACATACAATTATAGAGATTGATATATCTGTTCAATTTAAAAGTTGCCTCACCTGATCACCATAAATTATCAGGAAAAATCTCATCTCCATTGACCTTATGTAGGAAAATTTTGCAAAACTTTAATCGTCTATCTCATCGCCATCATGAAAGCTTTTTAACAAGCTGGGAATGTAAGGTTCCATCTTAAGCTTCTTTAAGAGTCTACGAACATTTCAATCACAGACATCCAACTCTGAAGAAAGACGTCTACTGGATTTTTGAGGAGTGCTAAAAAATGACTCTTTTATTTCAGTGGTTTTTTTCTAAACTGACTTACCTGATTTTGGGACACACCACTTACGCTTCTTGTTCTTTCAAATCTTCTAATTAAGCTTGTGATATTTCGACTGTCTCTGCGCTTGCCGAATGTTAAATCCTGCTGATAACAAACGAATGGCTTTAGTGTCGTTATCATTTTGGCAATAACGTTGAACTGCTTTCAAGATAGTGAAATCATTTGAAAATATTTATTTAATACAGACAATAGAGAAATCAAAAAATCAAAAAATACTTTAGTTTTTTTTTATTAATAATTACAACAATTTTGACGATAAATTTTTTTTTTATTAAGTGTGGGGCTTTATTCATTACGGTATCCTGTTTTTCAGCGAATTAGTGGAGATACCTACTATAGAGTTAGTGACAGAAGCGAGAAAAAATGCGGATTAAGCGAGTGGGAATCCCTTTATTTTCAGTTCAATGAATTCTTCGTCTTTATGTGCCGTGCCCCTTCAGGACATAGGCGATTATGGCTCTTCCCTATTTCATGTCCT